GCACTGTTTAGACTCTTATAATACATATAAAAAATGAGTGCGCTGGACACTAAAAAAATCATAAACAATTATAAATCAAATAAATACTGCTACATAAAAATGTGAATAAATTAATTGAAATGATATACTGTAAGTCCACATTCATATATTAAATAATTAAAAGTCCCAAAATCCAATAGCACAGTGCTGTGTGCTAAAGAAATCCTCCAACGGAAAGTGCATAGGTGTCCACAAATGCTTGACACAAAAGAAAAAAATCAGCCTCTTACCAGACACTTAGATCTCCAATCAAGAGATCAAACGAGCAGATGGTGTTCAGATCCCACAGTGACACCCTAGTTAAGCCATATCAAGGAGATGAATAGGAGATGAATGGACAACTGCAGATTCACTTGAACAAATCCATCACATCAGACAGCTCTCCACATCATGCAAGGAAAGGTTTAAAACAGAAGAAGAAAACTTCATAGTCAGGGGCAGGACTGACCATTTGGGAACTCGGGCACTGCCCGAGGGCCCGGGGTCAGTAGGGGGCCCTATGAGATGCCTCTGGTACCTTTTCATAGGCTTTTTTTGGTGTGGTTTGAGTGTGGGCGAGGACACAGGGCCCCATGATCCCCTGTTGCCCGGGGGCCCCATGAGTTGTCAGTCCACCCCTGTTCATAGTTCGACCCGATAAACCAGCAAAGAATTTATTAAAGTATTGCATTTACATAGATAAGGTGCATAAAGGCAGTGTAAACATTTAAAATTCCCGCAGATGTCAGACCACCGGCCAGAACAAAGTGACATCACAGAAAGCTCCGCTCGACGCATGTTTCTCCAAAAATGGCATCCTCTGTGATTGGAGATTTTAAGTTTAGACTCTACCATCTGATGTGCTTCTATCTGGACTGGACAATTTGATTGTTAACCGCTTCCATGCCACTTTATAGCAGAAATGCTACAGGGTGGCACTAGTGTGCAAAATCACATATATTCGCAGCCTCAGCTGTCAATCACCGGGTCCCGGACGATGATTCCCTGCCGGCACCCGGCGATCTCTGAGTATTTCCGATGGGGGAGAGACCTGTATGTAAACAATACAAATCTCTTCCCTGTCAGCTTCTGCACACTGCTTTGTATGGCTCTGCATAGCAGAGCCATACAAAGCAGTGTGCTTACAGTGAAACACACACAGCCCACATAGTAAAACAGCACACAGTTAACCCTTTGATCGCCCCGCATGTTAACCCCTTACTTAGCAAAGACATGTAGCAAAATACATTTTGGCCTAAATTTATGATGAAATTTGATATTTAAAATTTTTTTGCTGGACATCTTTAATAGCAAAACGTCACAAATATAGGGCTTTTTTTTTTAAACTTGTCGGCCTTTTTTTGTTTATAGCGCAAAAAATAAAAAACGCAGAGGTGATCAAATACTATAGAAAGAAAGCTCTATTTGTGCGGAAAAAAAGGAAGTTAATTTCATTTGGGTGCAGCGTTGTATGACCATGCAATTGTCAGTTAAAGTAGCGCAGAGCCGTATCGCACAAAATGGCCTGGTCAGGAAGGGGGGTAAATCCTCTGGAGGGCAAGTGGTTAATCAATAAAATGACATCGTTTTCAGCACTTAGATCGTGCCCTTTTGTCTTGCTTTGTGTTACTACAGATATTCCTTCTATCTGCTGATGAGCTGCACTGTTATTTAAAGCTAGCTGCATTAACCCTCGATACACCCAATGTGGACACAATGAACTTTCCAGCTAGAATTTCACTATTATGGACTTCATTGGTTGCATTTTGCGCTATAACTTATTTGCTGTCTGAAGTTTGAATAAATCCTCCCAAGAGCCAGCCCACTGCTTGCATCAGGGTTTAGATGTCTTAAAGCGGACTTCCAGCCATTTTTGTGTTTAAATTAAATTTGGGTAAAAGTCAGCAGCTACAAAAACTGTAGACTTACCTGTCCCAGAGTCCAGCAATGTTCTCACCCGCGCCATCCCTTCTCCCCTTCTCTCCTCCACAGTGACGGCATCTCAACTGTGGGCACCAGGGTTTGACAGCTTGCGGCTTCACAGCCTGGTGCCCACTGCACATGTGCGAGTTGAGCTCCGCCTCCTGATTGGTCCAGCAGTCTTCTGGGACCTGTGAAGGTTCCCAGGAGACTGCGGGAGTGAGGAGGGGGCTGAACTTCTGGCTCACTTTGCCGTGGCCAACTGAGCTGGAAGTGGGAGTGGGTACTTGTCAAAAACAGGTATCCCCTACCCCCCCAAAAGGTGCCAAATATAGCAGTGGGGGGAGGGGTAGGCAAATAAGTGAAGCTTCCACTTCTGGATGGAACTCCGCTTTAAGAGGAGGAGTAGGGCAGAGTGCTGTGGGGTTTTCAGGAACCTGCAGTTGCAAGAAAAAGTATGTGAACCCCTTGGGATTACGTGGAGTTTTGCATGAATTGGGCATAAAATGTGCTCTGAACGTCATCTAAGTCACAACAATAGAAGAACACAGTCTGCTGAACATAATACTACACAAACATTAGATGTTGCCATGGTTTAATTGCATATAACATGTAAACATTCACAGTGCAGGGAGGAAAAAGTATGTGAACCTTTGGACTTAATAACTGGTTAACCCTCCTTTGGAAGCAATAACCTCAACCAAACGTTTCCTGTAGTTGCAGATCAGACCTGCACAACGAACTGGAGTAATTTTGGACCACTCCTCTTCACAAAACTGTTTCAGTGTAGCAATATTCTTGGGATGTCTGGTGTAAATCGCTCTCTTAAGATCATGCCACAGCATTTCAACCGGGTTGAGTTCAAGACTCTGACTGGGCCACTCCAGAAGACGTATTCTGTGCTGTTGCAGCCATTGTTTTGTTGAATTACTTGTATGCTTTGGGTCATTGTCCTGTTGCATCACCCATCCTCTGCGGAGCTTCAGTTGGCGGACAGATGGTCGTACGTTTTCCTGAAAAATGTCTTGATAAACTCTGGAATTCATTTTCCCATCAATGACAACAATCCGTCCAGGCCCTGAGGCAGCAAAGCAGCCCCAAACCATGATGCTCCCTCCGCCATGTTTTACAGTGGGGATGAGGTTTTGATGTTGGTGTGCTGTGCCTTTTTTTCTCCACACATAGTGTTGTGTGTTCTTCCCAAACAACTCAATCTTGGTTTCATCTGTCCACAGTATATTTTGCCAGTAGTGCTGTGGAACATCCAGGTGCTCTTTTTGCAAACTTCAAACGTGCTGCAATATTCTTTTTGAACAGCAATGGCTTCCTCCGTGGTGTCCTCCCATGTACTCCATTCTTGTTTAATGTTTTCCTTATTGTAGATATGTTAACAAAAATGTTAGCATGTGCCAGAGATTTCTGTAGGTCTTTAGCTGACACTCTGGGATTCTTCTTTACCTCATGCAGCATTCTGTGCTGTGTTCTTGCAGTCATTTTTACAGGACGACCACAACTAGGGAGAGTAGCAACAGTGCTAAACTTTCTCCATTTGTAGACAGTCTGTCTTACTGTGGACACATGAACATCAAGGCTTTTGGAGATACTTTTGTAACCCTTTCCAGCTTCATGCAAGTCAACAATTCTTGATCGTAGGTCTTCTGAGAGCTCTTTTCTGCGAGGCATGGTTCACATTAGACAGTGCTTCTTGAAACCAGTAAACCCAAAACAGGTGTGTGTTTTTTAAGGGCAGGACAGCTGTCAGCAACACATCCAATATCATCACACTGATTGGAGTCAAGGTTGGCTCACTCCTGGCTCCAATTACCTCTGGGAGAAGTCATTAAGCTAGGGCCTCACATACTTTTTCCTCCCTGCACTGTGAATGTGTACATGTTATGTGCAATTAAACCATGGCAACATCTAATGTTTGTGTAGTATTATGTTCAGCAGACTGTGTTCTTCTATTGTTGTGACTTAGATGACGTTCAGAGCACATTTTATGCCCAATTCATGCAAAACTCCACGTAATCCCAAGGGGTTCACATACTTTTTCTTGCAACTGTATGTATATGGCACCCTGCCGTTCCCACAAGCCATGGTCTTGTATAAAGTAGCCCAGAGACCAAATTATGATATCACTGGGTCTAAACTAAGTTATATAATAAAAAAAGGAAGAGTGGTATTTGAAAACTCCATGTTGAAATGGGTCAAAAGGAGAAGCCAAGACAGGCAAAAATAAGCAGTTAAAGCTTGCACAATCAGAAATCATTCCACAAAAGATTCTAAAAGGATTCTGGAGGGATTCTAAGTTGTGGTGCATCGTTCATTGCACATCACATGATATCGGCAAATGATGCCACATTTTTTTTTAAAGTGTTACTAAACCCAAAACAGTAAAATCAGTCTGTATATGCAGTAAAGCATGCTTGTTATACTCACTGTGGGGCCTAAGGGGTTAATCCTCTGCATTGTGTAAAAATGCTTTTTGATCATGACTTCTCTGATCCTCCCCTTCTTCCAGTCTCCCCTCTTATCATATTGTGTGGAGTCACTCTGCACTTGCTCAGTTTGGTGTGTATTGCTAGAGAGGCTTTTTTTGTTGTTTCTTTGGAGAGTGCATTTGATCAGCACAGGGCCAAGCAGCGCTGTCCATACAGAGGGTTCTGCATCCTCCTAGAGGATAATGAAAACTCCTCCTACAAGCTTTAACATGTGCTCTGCCAGACACTGATAGAAGACACAGGTCACAAGACTGCTCTAACTGCTGATGAGAAAAGGTATTTAGCAGTTTATATTTATTAAATATGGTGAATATTACAATTATATTTACTAGATATAGTGAATGCAGGGTCCTGGGTTTAGTAACACTTTAACTTCTACTGGAAAGTTATCACGTTTTTAGTGGTGTCAAACACACTGATCAAAGGGGCTATCATGGAATCGCAATCTTCCCTTTTGATAAGTTTCTGCTAGGTGCTATGGTTTTGATGTGAAAAAATACTAGCATACAAAAGTAAATTATTATACATTCATAGAAATCGTATAATTTTCTTGTCTTTCAGGGAAAACACTGACATTTGCTCGAACTGTAGATATACCCCGTTCAGTGTATAACTTTCGCTTCTTTGCCTCCTCCATCCTGCACCATACCATGGAGTGTACACAGATGGACCACCTGAACTGCATGAATTATACAGTGCGCACACCTATTGGAGTTGGTAATATGAATAGACCTGGGCTTGGCAAGGGTCTTGTTACCTTAAATCGGTTTTCTGATGAAATGTTTTCTTGTCAGCTGGATTAATCAGCCCCTGGAATCTGCCCCTCTATCTACTTACCTGGAAAATTGCTCCTGCTATAGCATGTGGGAATACGGTTGTGGCAAAGCCAAGTGAAATGACCTCTCTTACTGCGTGGATGATGTGCAATTTATTGGAGGAAGCAGGTAATGTATGAGAATTTGTTTTATACCATCTATTTAAACTGGGTATACACATATAAATTATTTTTGTTCAAACTGCGGGCCGAACAGGGGTGGACTGACCATTCGAGCACTCGGGCACTGCCCGAGGGCCCAGGGTCAGTAGGGGGCCCCATAAAATGCCCCTGGTACCTTTTGTATATGCTTTTTTGAGTGTGGGCAAGGACACAGGGGCCCCATGATCCCCTATTGCCCGGGAGCCCCATGAGCTGTCAGTCCTCCCCTGGGGCCGAACTAAAATAATTATCAAATTCCTCCATTCACACTATCTAATGTGGATGGAGGAATCTCCCACTGTGGCAAGTGTATTCTCAGAGCCACACCTGAGGATTTTCAGAATATGCAAATAGTCTGTATATGAGTGGATGCAGCTGCTGTTTGCCCACAATTTTCTGCCCAGCTCCCACGTAGTGAATATTATTGCGTTTTTCAGCTACTGGACAAAATTTGTATAGTGTGTACCCCCAGCTTTAGAATTTCATTAAACAGTTGTCTGGAAGAGTTCTTCCAGTGGTACCATAGAAAATGTAATCTGGGAGTATTCAGTGGATACGGTGGATATTCAAATAATAACCTAAAGATACAGTAATAGCTCTCCTGATACACAAATAATAGTAATAGAAGAGCTGGCAAAAAAAAGCTCCTTCAAGTTCTCATTAGTGCTTCTTATACAAAGGGAAGTCCAGGCAACTGGTCAAGTTCTGCTGTAAAGTAGGATTATCGAGGCCCATGGGCTGAATGTGGCCCTTTTTCTATCCTTTATCCAGCCCTTGAGGCACTATACCTCCACTGACACCAACAAGGAGGCACTATTCCTTTCACTGACACCAACAGTGGGGAACCATTGCTTTCACTGATAACAGGGACGGGGCATTTTTTATTTCAACTGACACCAGCGATGGGGCACTATTCCTCCCACCGACACCAGCAATAAAGCATAATTCCTCCCACTGATATAAACAATTAGGCACTATTCTTCCAAGCAATTCCAATAACACTGTTCAACAAATTTTTATTTTTTGCCAGTTTTGGAAACAAAAGGATCCATTTCTTAATGAATTTCACATTCTGAGTTCAAATATAACAATGAAAGTTGTCAATTGGCTCTAGTTTTTCTGTAAACGGAAAGTTTTCTACTATAGGCGTAATGACTACATAATGCACAATAATTATATAGATAGATGTCTTTCCACAAATATAAAGCAAGTGATATTGACTACATAACAAAGCCTAAATGGCATAATATATTGCATAGGATTACCAAGAAAAATTATAGCCATAAGCTAAGTTGAATCATTTTAATACTTAGGATTCTCACTAGTTTTGTCTTCAGTTTGTGTCGGTTTTGCTTCTCTTGGCTTTTCTCTTGTATTCGAGGAAAGGGCTATCTCTTACAACTGCACGTGACTACACGCTTCAGGTTCTTCCTCACTTGACTAAACCACGAAGGATTCTGGTGCTTTAGGAATTTGGTAGCCCCTCTCCATGAGGAACTGGACGTATTGCCGATGGAATATTTGGATAGTGCACAGATAACTTTTTCTTCTTATTTAGCCTTTTACAATTGGAGGCACCATACAAAAGTAACAATTACTAACATGATCTGTTGGCTCTCTCCAAATCATTGGCACAGCGAAAGGCATAGATGCCTTTTTTCCATTCAACCATTGCTTCAGTGCCGTCCCACAAGAATTGCAGCATATATGTGGTGCCCAGCTCTTTCCTGGTCTCCTATCTTGCAGCCAAAATACAAGTTGTAGGCTTTCTTATCATTCCTGTTATCCTCCTTTTTTGTGAGATAAAAGTTATTTCACCGCAGATATAGCAGAAATTATCTGCTTTATTCACACAAGTTCGAGGCATTACTGAGTAGCCTATATAAGCATAAAACGAAATGTAAAGACGCTGTCGAACTACAATCAGCTACAGATACTGCAGCTTTTATGCAGTGAAGTGATGCAATTAAAGGCTAATATTGCATCATCTCAGTATACATGCAATTTTCTATTGGTCACCAGTATCAATTGCGCAATATGCAGCTGAAGTTGCATCATAATTTTGAATGGCTTACGTCATTAGATGGGGGAATATATCATGGAAACTAGAGCCAATCAACATTTTTTAGGGTCATTTTCGTTTTCAGCACCCCAAAATTATGTAAGATTAGCTAATTTTATGCCCAAAACTTTTTACCTGTTGAACAGTGTAATAGGACACATTTCCTCCCACTGATACCAATAAAGGGACACTATTCCTTCTTGAGTGCAGGCAATATGTAAATGTATTTACTCCAACTGACACTGGGGCATTTTCTACTCTCACTAGCCAATCTGGCCCCCCTAAAGTCTGAAGGACAGTAATCTGGCTCTTTGTATAAATGGTTTGGAGACCCCTGATATAACCTGATCTTGATCTTTTACTTCAGTTGTGATTTTATGATGAATTTGCTAGGCTTTCAGCAACATGACCAGTGCTGGCAGCAGCTTTTGCTTTAGGAAAGTTATGTATTTTCCTACTCCATCCCAGCAAGCCTGTCAACATAATAAAATTTGTTTGAAAAATAAAGTGAATCAGAAAACTGATATCTTTTCCTGACTGTAGGCATGAAAATGTTTAGAAATCTATAAAGAATCATTCAAGTTACAAATCAAGGTTACCTAGCTTCCTAAATTGCGGTATCCTCCACAGATCATAAAGTTTCTCTTCTAAATATTCAGGAGAATCCAAAACTGCTGAATTGACATTTTTCCAGATTTGTTCTTAACATTTGAATATTGGTTTACTGTACATTTTTTGAAATTGCTAAATCTGTACCTGATAGTATGAAATTTCAAGGTAAATACAGGTGAAACTCGAAAAATTAGAATATCGTGCAAAAGTTCATTTGTTTCAGTAATGCAACTTTTCCCTTCCACATAACTTTCTATTAATGTGCTTTGACACAGCACTTTGGGAACATCCACCTTCTTTTGCAATTACCTTTTGAGGCTTTCCCTCCTTATGGAGGGTGTCAATGATGGTTTTCTGCACAACTGTCAGGTCAGCAGTCTTTCCCATGATTGTGATTCCTACTGAACCAAACTGAGAGACCATTTAAAGACTCAGGAACCCTTTGCAGGTGTTATGGCTTAATTAGCTGATTAGAGTGGGACACTTTCAGCCTAGAATATTGCACCTTTTCACAATATTCTAATTTTCTGAGATTGTGGATTTGGGGTTTTCATGAGCTGTAAGCCATAATCATCACAATTATGACAAATCATGGCTTCAACTATCTTGCTTTGCATGTAATGAGTCTATATCATATACAGTGGGGCAAAAAAGTATTTAGTCAGCCACCAATTGTGCAAGTTCTCCCACTTAAAAAGATGAGAGAGGCCTGTAATTGGCATCATAGGTAGACCTCAACTATGACAGACAAAATGAGAAAAAAAATCCAGACAATCACATTGGCTGATTTGGAAAGAATTTATTTGCAAATTATGGTGGAAAATAAGTATTTGGTCACCTACAAACAAGCACGATTTCTGGCTCTCACAGACCTATACCTTCTTCTTTAAGAGGCTCCTCTGTCCTGCACTCATTACCTGTATCAATGGCACCTGTTTGAACTTGTTATCAGTATAAAAGACACCTGTCCACAACCTCAAACAGTCACACTCCAAACTCCACTATGGTGAAGACCAAAGAGCTGTCGAAGGACACCAGAAACAAAATTGTAGACCTGCACCAGGCTGGGAAGACTGAATCTGCAATAGGCAAGCAGCTTGGGGTGAACAAATCAACTGTGGGAGCAATAATTAGAAAATGGAAGACATACAAGACCACTGATAATCTCCCTCGATCTGGGGCTCCACGCAAGATCTCACCCCATGGGATCAAAATGATCACAAGAATGGTGAGCAAAAATCCCTGGACCACACGGGGGGACCTAGTGAATGACCTGCAGAGAGCTGGGACCAACGTAACAAAGGCTACCATCAGTAACACACTACGCCGCCAGGGACTTAGATCCTGCAGTGCCAGACGTGTCCCCCTGCTTAAGCCAGTATATGTCCGGGCCCATCTGAAGTTTGCTAGAGAGCAATTTGGATGATCCAGAAGAGGATTGGGAGAATGTCATATGGTCAGATGAAACCAAAATAGAACTGTTTTGGTAGAAACACAACTCGTCGTTTGGAGGAGAGAGAATGCTGAGTTGCATCCAAAGAACACCATACCTACTGTGAAGCATGGGGGTGGAAACATCATGCTTTGGGGCTGTTTCTCCACAAAGGGACCAGGACGACTGATCCATGTACAGGACAGAATGAATGGGGCCATGTATCGTGAGATTTTGAGTGCAAACCTCCTTCCATCAGCAAGGGCATTGAAGATGAAACGTGGCTGGGTCTTCTAACATGACAATGATCCCAAACATACCACCCGGGCAACGAAGGAGTGGCTTCGTAAGAAGCATTTCCAGGTCCTGGAGTGGCCTAGCCAGTCTCCAGATCTCAACCCCATAGAAAACCTTTGGAGGGAGTTGAAAGTCCGTGTTGCCCAGCGACAGCCCCAAAACATCACTGCTCTAGAGGAGATCTGCATGGAGGAATGGGCCAACATACCAGCAACAGTGTGTGCCAACCTTGTGAAGACTTACAGGAAACGTTTGCCCTCTGTCATTGCCAACAAAGGATATATAACAAAGTATTGAGATGAACTTTTGATATTGACCAAATATTTTCCACCATAATTTGCAAATAAATTCTTTCCAAATCAGCCAATGTGATTGTCTGGATTTTTTTTCTCATTTTGTCTGTCATAGTTGAGGTCTACCTATGATGCCAATTACAGGCCTCTCTCATCTTTTTAAGTGGGAGAACTTGCACAATTGGTGGCTGACTAAATACTTTTTGCCCCACTGTATTAGTTTCACCTTTTAAGTTGCATTACTGAAATAAATGAACTTTTGCACGATATTCTAATTTTTTGAGTTTCACCTGTAAATATTTTCTTGTGTGCTGCATAGAAAAGTGATGATACAAAAATATGTAAGTATAATGTAAAATATAAATGATTGCTGTTGTGTAAAGGTATCCCACCAGGTGTCATCAATATAGTGTTTGGCACTGGCCCGAAAGCTGGAGAGGCTCTTGTGTGCCATCCTGATGTGCCTCTCATCTCCTTTACTGGAAGCACTGTGACTGCTCAACGCATCATTGAGAGGAGTGCCCCATACTGTAAAAAGCTGTCACTGGAGCTTGGAGGAAAGAATCCAGCCATCATATTTGAAGATGCAAACCTAGAGGATTGTATCACTACTACTGTTCGCTCCAGTTTTTCCAATCAGGTAAGTGCATATTTCCACTTCGCAATATTTGTGCTCCCTTTCCCCCAACTTCAGGGTTAAGTCCCCTCATCTGCAAAAAAATCCACAGCCCCCTTTTAAATAATCTTATTGGCCAGTAAGGGTGCTTTCTTAGGATAAAAGGAAGGAGAGCTTTTAGAAACACAATGAGGGTTATTTACTATAAATGGAACATTCAAAATCTGGTGCAGCTCTGCATAGAGACCAGTTAGCTTCATATTTTATTGCCAAACCTCAATTATTATTATTATTATTATATACAGGATTTATATAGCGCCAACAGTTTGCTCAGCGCTTTACAAAAGAAAGGGAGACAATACAGCAGCAATACAGTTCAATACAAGAGGGCTAGGAGGGCCCTGCTCCTTGGAGCTTACGATCTAAGATTGAACAAGATGACGTTAGAAACTGATTGGCTACCATGCACGGCTGCACCCGTTTTAGTAAATCCTTCCCAATAAATCCCATAAAAAAAGGAGTGCACTGAACAGCCTTATTCTGCCCAACACGGGTAATATGGGCACTCTGTAAAGCAGAATTTCTCCTATAAAAGGTTAGCAATGATTGACAGGTTTAGCCAAGTTGGGTATGACAACCTTGCTGAGGCATATATTTGTGTGGAGCTCTAATCTGTTTTTTTGTTTTTTTTTTTCACCCCTGGAACATCACTCCAAAGATCATGTTCTTTTGGAGTGAGAAAGAGAAGAGGGAGAGAAGAAAAAAAGGAACACCAGTTTTTTAGTGTAGTGATGATTTTAGTGAGTCATGCAAAAAGGTTGGATTGTATATCAAAGGGTCTGTGTTCACCTAGGTTAACACTGCTGCTTTCAGATTTTGATACAACTTTCAGTGCAATTATATAGTGCAACTTAGATGCAACTTTGACATGGTTTGTATATGTTATGGGGCCAAAATCACACTGGAATTGTACCAAATAGTACAAGAACTAAAACCCTAACTGGTTGTTACGCTTGTAGGGAATGTATCTATGTACATGCACACCTTTGTGGTGGATCACTCTCAAGGCCATTAGAGGTCCTGTATATTCTCAAAATGAATGAATGGATGGAAGGGGTGTGGTTTATGCAACTGAGTAGACTGTAGAAGAGGGGTTATTTTTACAGCTGAATCAGAATGCAGGACCTCAAAACCTGAATTTGGGTACAGGACTTTGGAAGCCGAATCGGGCTACAGGACTTCTGGAGCTGCTTTTGGGTTGAGGGCCCCAGAAACCAAATCGGTATGCAGGACCTTGGAGGCTAAACTGGGGTACAGGACCTTAGAAGCCAAATCGGGGTGCAGGAACTCAAGAGCAGAGACAGTGTGCAAGATATCTAGAAGGGAAATGATGTGCAAATTATTTGCTTGAATGGTTTTGCACTTCAACTCTGATCCAGACACAGTGCGCAAGACTTAGGGAGAAAAGATGGGTCACAAAGTTTTTGAAGCAGAGTCAGGGCACAATATCACTGAAGTAGAGACAGGGTGCAAGATTTCTGGAACAGAGACTGGGTGCAAAGCCTTTGGAACAGTCAGGGTGTAAAATCAATGAAGCGGAGACAAGGAAGCAAGATGTCTGGAACAGTGGACCTCAGATGTAGAAACAAGATGCAGAGTCTTTGGAGCAAAGTCAGAAAGCCAAGAAACTGGAGAATGGTTGAGGACCCCACTGGGCTGGAAGAGTGAGCCCATCCAAAGGATGAAACGTACCTTTTAGAAAGAAGTGGGAGGACTGATTGCAGAGAATAGTGGGATGCTGAAAGTACCAAACGCAGATTGGCAGCAACCAGAGCAGAAGCTGACACAAAGACGGACTAGACTGGGGGACTGGGGGAGCTGGTCTGGAGCAGTTGGTACAAAGTTGGGCTGGCTTGAAACTGCTGGCACAACAACAGATGGCACAGAGAAACCTTGGACTGGAACAGCTGGTAGGGATACAGGCTGACCTGGACAGCAGGCATAGATGAAGAATGGACTGGAACAGCTGGCAAAAATACAGGCTGGACTGGAATATTGATCACAGAGACGGGCTGGACTGGAACAGCAGGCACAGAGACAGTCTAGACTGAGATTGGCAGGCGAGCAGGGTGATCTGAGGTTGGCAGGCGAGCAGGATAGTCTGAGGTTGGCAGGCGAGCAGGGTGGTCTGAGGTTGGCAGGCGAGCAGGGTGGTCTGAGGTTGGCAGGTGAGCAGGATGGTCTGAGGTTGGTAGGCGAGCAGGGTGATCTGAGGTTGGCAGGCGAGCAGGATGGTCTGAGGTTGGCAGGCGATCAGGATAGTCTGAGGTTGGCAGGCGAGCAGGATGGTCTGAGGTTGGCAGGCGAGCAGGATGGTCTGAGGTTGGTAGACGAGCAGGGTGATCTGAGGTTGGCAGGCGAGCAGGATGATCTGAGGTTGGCAGGCGAGCAGGATGGTCTGAGGTTTGTAGGCGAGCAGGGTGATCTGAGGTTGGCAGGCGAGCAGGATGGTCTGAGGTTGGCAGGGAACAGGATAGTCTGAGGTTGGCAGGCGAGCAGGATAGTCTGAGGTTGGCAAGCAAGCAGGGTGTTCTGAGGCTGGCAGGCAAGCAAGCAGGATGGTAGGGTAGGCAAGCAGGGGGCTTGTTACAGGGCTTGTATAATTGGTGCAAACAGGAACAATGTCATGATTAGTCATTATGATATTGTAAGTGATGTTTATTAATGCTTCTATGTTTCATTTCTGTTTATGGGACAGAAGCAGTGGACTTCTACTGTGTATGGGCATCTTTATTTTTTAAGTTGGCATTCAACTCGAACAGTTAAATTATGGCTAAAATGCTACCTACAGTAATGATCAAGATCTAATAAAAAGCACAGTGGCTAAATGGTTAGCACTTCTGCCTGGCAGTGCTAGGGTCGTTGGTTTGAATCCCAACCACGGCATCACCTGCCTGGAGTTTGTATGTTCTCTCTGTGCCTGCATGGGTTTCCTCTGCGTACTCCGGTTTCCTCCCACACTCCAAAGACATGCTGCTGGTAGGTTGACCGGATCCTGTCTATATTGTCCCTAGTATGTGTATGTATGAATGTAAGTTAGGGATTTTAGATTGTATACCCCTTGAAGGTTAGGGAGTGCTGCGTAAATTCATGGAGCTATATAAGTACCTGCAATAAATAATAATAATAAATATTCCAATACTTACCAAAGAAAAACAAATCAGTAATAATTGTTAGATGTTACCACTAGATGGAGTCATTGCACATATTTTACACTTGGGAGTTTACCTAAAATAACTGTACTTGTGGATTGCAGAAACATATTCTGTATTATGATAAAACAAAGGAAATCTATTGTCAAGTCAAAAAACTTATGCTAAGAGAAACCTGAGGGCTCCATTGCTGACTTTACTATAAAAATGCTAGCTACCTGGCTTTAATGCCCATTTCCTGGCTTCAACATATTCTGAGTCTCTGATTGGAGCAAGTATAAAGTCAATGAACTGATGTCAAAACTCCTGATCTGGATGCATGTCTTATGTCTGTGCCTTATAAAGAACTGCAGACATGGGGGTTGATTTACTAAAGGTATAAAAACTATGCACTTTGCAAAGCTCAGTTTAACTCTGCAAGAACAGTTTCTCCAGAGCTTAGTAAATGAGCAGAAAGTCTGCTGACTACCATCATTCAGTCATGTGCAAGCAAAAATGCTGTTTTTTTTTTTTATCTTTCCTTGCATGTGATTGGGTATTCTTTGCAAAGTGAATCTTTACCTCATTTACTAAGCTCTGGAGCAACTGCTTTTGGAAGAATGCAACTACTCTTTGCAAAATGCATAGTCTATTTGCCTTTAGTAAATCGACCCCATTGGATCAGCAAGATAGCAACTGTAGCATTCAAGACTTAAAGTGGTTGTCAACCCTTACATATACCCAGTGAAGTGACTGGTCTCAGGTGATACACAGACATGAAACAAATCCTCCTACATAAGTTGTACCTATTTATCTATAGCCACCTTTCCCCTACATCCATTCAAAGTACTGAATTTACACTGGATCTCTCAGCTCTGAAAAACAGGGGACAGGAAGCTGAAGTTACATCAGCGAGGAGAGCTTTGAGAGCTGATTGGAGGGAAGGGCCACAATACCCTTCACACAGGAGCAGAGCTGAGGCTGTCATTCACAGGCTGTGCCCTCCCCTGTCACCATTTTCCTCTTGGTGTCAGAAAAACTTGTCAGAACTGATGCGTGCTTATAGCAGAGGAACAAGACAGCGAACAGAATTGACACGTAGTGCTCTGGATTGAGACAAGCACACACTATAGAGGGATATGCTTTGTTCATTATTCATGCATGAGGTTGGCATAGTCTAATGCAAAGGCAGCATATTGGTTTCAGAGCTCTCACATAACTTTTAGAGATGCTGTATAGGTGAATAAATATAGCATTCTCCTTCAGACAGGTATATAGCTTGATAATAGATCCCCCAAAAAATGAATAAAACACAGGTGAAAAGATAGCAGTAGTTTGGGGTCAGTGACTGTAGAAGGAGTATACTGTAAACCATGATTCTTAAGCTGCCTTAAAGATTGGGGAAAAAGTAAAAAGTGGCTCATCTGACCAAGGGGTGTCCAATAAACAACCCATAGCAGTAATCATTTCACATTCTGTAAAAGCACAGCTACAGTGTGAGAGATGCATAATTACAGAATACACTGTAGCCAGTTAAAGATGAGAGAAAAGGTTTACCGTAGTTGTTGCCCTAGGCAACCATATTTATTGCTCATTTTTAATGTGCAACGAAAGGTGGTACTTTATTGGTTGTTATGGGCAATAGCTTTCACTTTGGCTCTATCTTTCTTTGATCAGATATTCGTGAATCAGTCTGCATTGCAAAGAAATAGCAATATCCCAACATTGGGATTGCATTCATATTATGAAGGAAAACTGTTTTTTGACCTGCTGGAAAAATAAGGATGTATTTTATTTTTCATTTTACAGGGGGAGATTTGTCTCTGCACAAGCAGGATTTATGTTCAGCATTCACTCTATGAAGAGTTCCTCAAGAGATTTGTAGAAGCTACCAGAAAATGGAAGGTCGGAATCCCATCTGATCCGTCAGCCAGCATGGGAGCTTTGATCAGTCAGAACCATTTAGCAAAAGTAAGTGATTAATGGTAATGCAGTCCTAAAGAGGAAACTTGCATGAAACCTTAGTCATGTAAAGAAACCTACATGAATATTAGGCATGTAAAGAAACCTACATGAATATTAGGCATGTAAAAAAACATGTAAATGTAAAGAAACCTACATGAATATTAGGCATGTAAAGAAACACATGAATAAATGTAAAAAAACCTACATGAATATTAGGCATTAGTAAGAAACCTACATGAATATTAGTTAGGCATGTGTAAAGAAAGGCCTACATGAATATTAGGCATGTAAAGAAAACCTACATGAATATTAGGCATGTAAAGAAACCTACATGAATATTAGGCATGTAAAGAAACCTACATGAATATTAGGCATGTAAAGAAACCTACGGCATGAATATTAGGCATGTAAAGAAACCTACATGAATATTAGGCATGTAAAGGCAACCTACATGAAAAGGCAAAAGAAAACTACATGAATATTAGGCATGTAAAGAAACCTACATGAATATTAGGCATGTAAAGAAACCTACATGAATATTAGGAAACCTACATGAATAGGCATGTAAGAAACCTACATGAATATTAGGCATGTAAAGAAACCTACATGAATATTAGGCATGTAAAGAAACCTACGTGAATATGAGGCATGAATGAAGAAAAACCTACAATATGAGGCATGTGAAGAAATACATGGGCATGTAAAGAAACCTACTTGAATATTAGGCATGTACAGTAAAGAAACCTACGTGAATATTAGGCATGTGAAGAAACCTACATGAATATTAGGCATGTGAAACAAACCTACATGAATATTAGGCATGTAAAGAAACCTACATGAATATTAGGCATGTACAGTAAAGAAACCTACGTGAATATTAGGCATGTGAAGAAACCTACATGAATATATGAGGCATGTAAAGAAACCTACATGAATATGTAGGAAACCTACATGTGTGAAAAACTTACAAAAAGAACCTACATGAATATTAGAGGCATGTAAAGAAACCTACATGAATATTAGGCATGTAAATGAAACCTACATGAATATTAGGCATGTAAAGAAACCCACATGAATGAGGCATGTAAAGAAACCTACATGAATATTAGGCATGTAAAGAAACCTACATGAATATTAGGCATGTAAAGTAAAGAAACCTACATGAATATTAGGCATGTACAGTAAAGAAACCTACGTGAATATTAGACATGTGAAGAAACCTACATGAATAGGCATTAGAAACCTACATGTAAAAGAAACCTACATGAATATTAGGCATGTAAAGAAACCTACATGAATATTAGGCATGTACAGTAAAGAAACCTACATGAATATTAGGCATGTAAAGAAACCTACATGAATATTAGGCATGTATTAAGAAAAAGAAACTACATGAATATTAGGCATGTAAAGAAACCTACATGAATATGAGGCATGTAAAGAAACCTACATGAATATTAGGCATGTAAAGAAACCTACATGAATATTAGGCATGTAAAGAAACCTACATGAATATTAGGCATGAAAGAAACCTATGAATAGGCATGTGAAACCCTACATGAATATTAGGCATGTAAAGAAACCTACATGAATATTAGGCATGTGAAAGAAAACCTACATGAATATGGCAGGCATGTGTAAAGAAGAAACCTACATGAATATTAGGCATGTAAAGAAACCTACATGAATATTAGGCATGTAAAGAAACCTACATCAGTGGTTCTCAACCTTTCTAATGCCGCGACCCCTTAAGTTCCCCATGTTGTGGTGACCCCCAACCAACTAAAATTATTTTCATTGCTACTTCATAACTGTAATTTTGCAGTGGGAGGAGTAGTGCCATGTCATTGGTGTCAGTGGAAGGAGTAGTGCCCCATCACTGATGTCAGTGGGATGAATAGTGCCCCATTGTTGGTATCAGTGGGAGGAATAGTGCCCCATCGTTGGTATCAGTGGGAGGAATAGTGCCCCATCGTTGGTATCAGTGGAAAGAAATAGTGCCCCATCACTGATGTCAGTGGGATGAATAGTGCCCCATCATTGGTGTCAGTGGGAGGAATAGTGCCCCATCACTGGTGTCAGTGGGAGGAATAGTGCCCCATCGTTGGTGTCAGTGGGAGGAATAGTGCCCCATCGTTGGTGTCAGTGGGAGGAATAGTGCCCCATCGTTGGTGTCAGTGGGAGGAATAGTGCCCCATCGTTGGTGTCAGTGGGAGGAATAGTGCCCCATCGTTGGTGTCAGTGGGAGGAATAGTGCCCCATCGTTGGTATCAGTGGGAGGAATAGTGCCCCATCGTTGGTGTCAGTGGGAGGAATAGTGCCCCATCACTGGTAGTCAGTGGGAGGAATAGTGCCCCATCCTTGGTGTCAGTGGGAGGAATAGTGCCCCATCATTGGTGTCAGTGGGAGGAGTAGTGCCCCATCATTGGTGTCAGTGGGGGAGTAGTGCCCCATCATTGGTGTCAGTGGGGGGAGTAGTGCTCCATCACTGGTGTCAGTGGGGGGGGAGTAGTGCCCCATCACTGGTGTCAGTGGGAGGAGTAGTGCTCCATCACTGGTGTCAGTGGGAGGAGAGTGCCACATCATTGGTGTCAGTGGAAGGAATAGTGCCCCATCATTGAGTCAGTGGGAGGAAAGTGCCCCATCATTGGTGTCAGTGGGGGAGTAGTGCCCCATCATTGGTGTCAGTGGGAGGAATAGTGCCACATCATTGGTGTCAGTGGGAGGAGTAGTGCCCCATCATTGGTGTCAGTGGGGGGAGTAGTGCCCCATCATTGGTGTCAGTGGGGGGAGTAGTGCCCCATCATTGGTGTCAGTGGGAGGAATAGTGCCCCATCACTGGTGTCAGTGGGGGGAGTAGTGCCCCATCACTGGTGTCAGTGGGGAGTAGTGCCCCATCACTGGTGTCAGTGGGAGGAATAGTGCCACCATCATTGGTGTCAGTGGGAGGAATAGTGCCCCATCATTGATGTCAGTGGGGTGGAGGAGAGAATAGTGCCCCATCATTGGTGTCAGGGGGGGGGGGAAATAGTGTCCCATCGTTGGTGTCAGTGGGGGGAGGAATAGTGCCCCATCATTGGTGTCAGTGGGAGGAATAGTGCCCCATCATTGATGTCAGTGTGGTGGAGGGGAGAATAGTGCCCCATCGTTGGGGTCAGGGGGGGGGAAATAGTGCCCCATCGTTGGTGTCAGTGGGGGGAGGAATAGTGCCCCATTGTTGGTGTCAGTGGGGGGAGGAATAGTGCCCCATCGTTGGTGTCAGTGGGGGAGGAATAGTGCCCCATCGTTGGTGTCAGTGGGGGGAGGAATACTGCCACATCGTTGGTGTCAGTGGGGGGAGGAATAGTGCCCCATCGTTGGTGTCAGTGGGGAGAGGAATAGTGCCCCATCGTTGGTGTCAGTTGGGGGAGGAATAGTGCCCCATCGTTGGTGTCAGTGGGGGGAGGAATAGTGCCCCATCGTTGGTGTCAGTGGGGGGGGAGGAATAGTGCCCCATCGTTGGTGTCAGTGGGGGGAGGAATAGTGCCCCATCGTTGGTGTCAGTGGGGGGAGGAATAGTGCCCCCATCGTTGGGTGTCAGTGGGGGGAGGAATAGTGCCCCATCGTTGGTGTCAGTGGGGGGAGGAATAGTGCCCCATCGTTGGTGTCAGTGGGGGGAAGAATAGTGCCCCATCGTTGGTGTCAGTGGGGGGAGGAATAGTGCCCCATCGTTGGTATTAGTGACACAAATGATGGGGCACTATTCCTCCCACTGACACCAATGATACTTACTTTGCTGACCCCTGCTCCAGCCTGGGCTCGCTCTCTCACTTACCTGTCAGCTGTCTTCCTTCTCTGGCCGCTCTCCTCTCTTCACATCGCTCCGGCAGCTCCCTCGGTCTTCTTTGATGTACGCGCGCTGCCGCTCGGCTCCTCCTCTCCAAGCTCCACCTCCTCGCCGGTGATTGGCCGCCTGTGTGCCTCTCCTGAGCTACAGTTCCGGTGGCCAATCAGCGGCGAGGAGGCGGAGCTGCTGAGCGATCCCGGAGGTGTGGCCAGGTGACAGCAGCGTATCATCCCGCCCACACAATCGCCGGAGACTGCAGCGGTGTCTCGGTTCCTAAGACCATCGGAAATATGTGTTTTCCGATGGTCTTAGGCGACCCCTGGGAAATGGTCGTTCGACCCCCAAAGGGGTCGCGACCCCCAGGTTGAGAACCGCTGACCTACATGAATATTAGGCATATACAGTAAAGAAAGCTACGTGAATATTAGGCATGTAAAGAAACCTACATGAATATTAGACATGTAAAGAAACCTACATGAATATTAGGCATGTAAAGAAACCTACATGAATATTAGGCATGTAAAGAAACCTACATGAATATTAGGCATGTAAAGAAACCTACATGAATATTAGGCATGTAAAGAAACCTACGTGAATAATAATAGGCATGTAAAGAAACCTACGTGAATATTAGGCATGTAAAGAAACCTACATGAATATTAGGCATGTAAAGAAACCTACGTGAATATTAGGCATGTAAAGAAACCTACATGAATATTAGGCATGTAAAGAAACCTACGTGAATATTAGGCATGTAAAGAAACCTACATGAATATTAGGCATGTAAAGAAAACCTACGTGAATATTAGGCATGTAAAGAAACCTACGTGAATATTAGGCATGTACAGTAAAAAAACCTACGTGAATATTAGGCATGTGAAGAAACCTACATGAATATGAGGCATGTAAAGAAACCTACATGAATATGAGGCATGTAAAGAAACCTACATGAATATTAGGCATGTAAAGAAACCTACATGAATATTAGGCATGTAAAGAAACCTACATGAATATTAGGCATGTAAAGAAACCTACATGAATATGAGGCATGTAAAGAAACCTACTTGAATATGAGGCATGTAAAGAAACCTACATGAATATTAGGCATGTAAAGAAACCTACATGAATATTAGGCATGTAAAGAAACCTACATGAATAATGAGGCATGTAAAGAAACCTACATGAATATGAGGCATGTAAAGAAACCTACTTGAATATGAGGCATGTAAAGAAACCTACATGAATATTAGGCATGTAAAGAAACCTACATGATAATGAGGCATGTAAAGAAACCTACATGAATATGAGGCATGTAAAAAAATTATGAGGTGCCTGTTTGAAAAGCGATTTGTTTTTCAGTAGAATTCACCATTTTTCAATTTTTTTCTACTACAAACTATTGCAACTGAAATTCCAGAAAACTTAGGCTCCTTTCACACTGATGGCCCAATCGGGTCCGCCCATCAGTTTTTCAGGCAGACCCAATAGGACCATCCATAACTCTTGGAACCTTGGGTTTCACCAGACATGTTTCTGCTGACACCCAGTGGCATCCGATCCGATAACACTGAAAACAGATGAATGGGGATCCATTCCCCATCTGTCTGGCAGATCGGATGGATGACAGGCCGATGGAAATAGACAGGCGGTCCATTTCCATCTGACCACCCCATAGAAAATAACAGGCTGTGTCTGTGTCCACACTGCATAACAGAGAGAACACGGACCTGTCGTCCCGCTTGCTCAGCGGGGATCAGCGGAGAGATCCCCTGCTGAGCAGGTGGATCCGCTTGAAGGAGTCTGCTTGTCTTAAAAATATAATGTTTATTTGTATCAAATTTTTTACCTCAATAAAGGAACCATCTGCAAATAGTGCAGACATTTCCCAGTTGGAGAATTACTATGGAGCAGTAACTTTACTACTTCATACAGAAATGGACAGTAAATCACTGGCTATTCTACTAGAATCACTAGTCTGGACACCTGATCACTGCTCTGATTATCAAATCTACTGAGAAAATATGGTATGAAATAATCCAGACCATGTCTGTCTATTAAAGGGTCACTAAAATAATTGGTATAAAACCCTGTCAGTGTTTTTTTTTTTTTTTTTTTTTTTTCACACCATCCGTGTCCCAATGGGAAGATGTCCCTTCACAGGGAGTGAGAGGGAATCCTGGGGGGGGGGGGGGGGGGGTCACTAGGGTCACCAGAAATAGTGTCCCCATTGAAAGATTCCCCTCTATTACTGTTCTGATATCTACCCCGAATTTTTGGATTTTCTTTTACTTTCACTTTCAATGATAATGGTGAACAGGACAAATAGAGACAACGAATCTTCCTGATGGAGGCACAGAAAGCAATACAAACTGACAAGAGTTCTAATCCCTCTCTACTCTATCCAAAATAAAAAAAACTAGATGGCCTTTAGGGACACTTTAGTCACTTGAATCTCTCCATTTTAACCTTTAGATATATTATCAAAAAACCTTTATATACTTAGTATACTTTAGTGTAGTATATACACAATATTTCCAAAAGTATTGGGACACCCCTCCAAATCATTGGATTCAGATGTTCCAATCACCTCCATGGCCACAGGTGTATAAAATCATCACTTAGGCATGCAGACTGCTTCTACAAACATTTGTGAAAGAATGGATCACTCTCAGGAGCTCAGTGAATTCAAGCGTGGTACAGTGATGGGTTGTCAGCTGTGCAATAAGTCCATCTGTGAAATTTCCTTGCTAATAAATATTTCACGGTCAACTGTTAGTGGTATAATAACAAAGTGGAAGCAACTGGAAACAATAGCAACTCAGCCACAAAGTGGTAGGCCATGTAAAATGACAGAGCAGGATCAGCGCACGCTGAAGCGCATAATGCGCAGAAGTTGCCAACTGTCTGCAGAGTCAATAGCTAAAGACCTCCAAACTTTGTGTGGCCTTCAGATTAGCACAACAACAGTGTGTAGAGAGCTTCATGGAATGGGTTTCCATGGTCGAGCAGCTGCATTCAAGCCTTACATCACCAAGTGCAATGCAAAGCGTCGGATGCAGTGGTGTAAAGCACGTCGCCACTGGACTCAAGAGCAGTGGAGACATGTTCTCTGGAGTGATTAATCATCCTTCTCTGTCTGGCAATCTGATTGACATGTTTGGGTTTGGTGGTTGTCAGGAGAACGGTACTTGCCTGACTGCATTGTGCCAAGTGTAAAGTTTGGTGGAGGGGGGATTATGGTGTGGGGTTGTCTTTCAGGGGTTGGGCTTGGCCCCTTAGTTCCAGTGAAGGGTAAGGTCAGTGCCTGACCTCATAAATCCACTTCTGGAAGAATGCTCAAACATTCCCATAGACACACTCCTAAACCTTGTGGACAGCCTTCCCAGAAGAGTTGAAGCTGTTATAACTACAAAGGGTGGGGCCAACTCAATATTGAACCCTACGGACTAAGACTGGGATGCCCATTAAAGTTCATGTGCGTGTAAAGGCAGGCGTCCCAATACTTTTGGTATTATAGTGTATTTACACTTAATAAACAATATATTTTCCCATCTGCTAATGAATATAACAGAACATTTATTCAATATCTTTTGATATGATTTTACATCTGAAATGTATTGACTATGCAAGCAATTCTATCTATCTTTGCTAATTATGATGGAATTGAATGGAATAATGTTTTAAAATAACTTATAGCTCATATATGCATATATAAAGACATCATCTCAGAGATTGTGTCTTGTAACAATCTGATTTATGATTCTGAATACAATAGATATACATTTTTTAAAATAAATACACCACAAGTTTAAAATATATTAATTCAACGTACATTGTATACAAATTGTGTAGAAATGGACACAATTACCTGGTTTTACCAGTAGGTGGCTCCTTGCACATAGATTCTCTATGTGAGTTTGCAGTAGCTCTGTGGATTGGGGAGATTTTGATTGTTTTATGTAACACTACTGTGACATTTTTTCTTTTTACATCTAAGAAAACTGTAGAGCTTTCAGTTTTAGGCAGTTTTCTATTTCCAATGTCTGCTGTTGGCACAGTTTTGTCTTTGGACAGGTTGCTGCAGAATAACAAGCTGTGTTGAACTCCTGATATACTCTGTCCCCTAGGTAAAAGGCTATGTGAAAAAGGCTTTAGAGGAGGGAGCTACTGTTGTTTGTGGAGAAGGTGAGGATATATTAAACATCCCACCAGAAAACCAGGGTGGCTACTTCATGTTGCCTACAGTGATAATCGGGCTGAAAGAAACATCTTGTTGTATGCAAGAAGAGATATTTGGACCGGTCACATGTGTTGTTCCTTTTGACACAGAAGAAGAGGTTATTGAAAAAGCCAATGGAGTCAAATATGGCCTGGCTGCTACTATATGGACAAGAGACGTGGGACGTGCCCACCGTGTTGCTAAGAGATTGCAGTCAGGTCTTGTATGGGGACCAATTGTTGGCTTGTGAGAGACCTTAACCTACCTTTTGGAGGCATGAAAGCATCAGGACTGGGAAGAGAAGGAGCAAAAGATTCCTATGAATTCTTTACTGAGGTGAAAACGGTCACCATAAAACATTGATATTATTTTTTTATATATATTTACAATGAATAAAATCTGTGCTAACATTTAACATGATTGTATTATTTTATTGTTTCACAATCTTCATAAGGCTAATAAGAATTTAAATAGGATATGGAAGGCATCTGGTTCCACTAGCCAGTCCAACCACCCCTGTGGCAAGCCCAAGTCTAAGGAAGTAGCCAAAATCGTCCACATTATATGTCCGAAGGAAGAACAAAGTCATGGTTGCTCTATAGAAACCAAATTATTTATTGCATTCTTCCATAGAGAAAAGGAAGACTGGTAGCTGAAGGGAAACGCAGACAGTCTAAAACAATTCTTACTTTCAGACCATTGTCATCAGGACTAAAAGAAATGAGAAATACAACAACATGTTACTGTAGCTGGATGTGAGGGAATATCTTCCAATGGGGACACCTATTCTGAAAACGGAGAGGGTATTTAGCCTCACCTTGGGGAGATTTTCTCTCATTTCTTGCTGTTTCCATGACAGGAAGCAAAGGGAAATCTCTCCAAATGGGAAACAGGCAGAAAAAAAAACCACAACAGGGATTTCAACCCTTCCCTTTTTTGTCAAAAGCAAAAAAAAGTTTGTGAATCAGATATACTATAATAAGGTTCAACCTAAGAGATACAGTATATCACCATCACATTAGGGAACTTCATAAAAGGGGGTCCAATGCTTTATTGAACAATCACATCACAGCAGAAGATAGCAACGTTTCAGAGCCACGCAGAACTCCTTCATCAGGCATGCCTGATGAAGAGTCCTGAGTGGTTCCAAAATGTCACTACCTTATGCTGTGATGTAACTGTTCAATAAAGCCTTGGACCATTTTTCTGGTGTTCCCTGGTGTGCTGGTGACATATCTCTTTCCTTGAGTCATTCCAGTTTCTGGCCAATGGTCACTACAGCACCCACTTACTTTTCACCCACATTCAGGAACACGTACATTGGGAATATAATTTTGGGTTCACGTTCAACCTGTCACAGCTCTGCAGCATTGGTCCAGAAGGAAAGCAAAACAAAGCTACCTGGCTAAAGTTATCAATTTTGCAGTGCAAGAGGAACCCAAGTGGTCAGGTCAGTTCTCTGGTTCCAAAGAATATATGAATCCAATAGCATCGATAGAACACATAATGCTGTGCAAAGTTGTTACTTTGTGATAAAATGAATAGTTCACATTTTTTCTGAAACATAGTTAATATATGGTTTATGACTGTCAGGCTTCTCATGAGCTAAAAAAAAGATATCAAACAAGTTCACTTCCATCATGATAAATTGAGTTTGTGTTTTGTTTGAAGACTTTAACTATCTTGCCCAGTCATTCAAACAAAGTAATTTGTTACATTATGCTATGTGAAAAAGCCCTTTGTTCTTCTCATTTTCTTGCCCTTTCATAAGCATCTTTTTACAGTGATGCTACTTATCACACATACCAGGAAATTTAACTGGGATATGTTTCCATGTCCTTTCCTCTCCCTCCCTTATGGATTCCTAAAATAGTAGCAGAGTAGTGAAGAGGGGAAGTGGATGTTGACCTGTTGGCTTGTGGCTCTTACTTCTATACGGCTTGTCAAGAGACTGCCATGTGATTTGCTGGTTCATGTCAATGTTATAACCTTTACTGTGCGTGATCAAAAGATACCTCAGAAAGATACTAGTCCTCACCCTTATGTCTTTCATCATAACATTATCAGAAAGCTCTTCATTCATTTCTCTAACCTCTTACCTACTTCCTTCCTTGCCCAGAAATGTATCCTTGGCAGGACCCCAAATGACTTATTGAAGAAAAATTTAAAAGGAACTGCTTGTGGACAATGATTAATCAGACTTGAACCTTTAAAATATTTTATTCGTGGAATGGAAGTCAATTTTTCAGGTTAGGCTGTATTGCTTTGTCTACCTATTAAACAGTTGTTTTTCTTAGTATTGTAGGTACATGATGTACTGCATTGCTTTGCCAAGAAAACTAGCCTTTCAGATTAGCTCTGACACCTAGGAATTCCAAGGGTGTAACTAGAAATCACGTGACCGCATAGCAATCATTTGATAGGGCCTTCTGATGACCCCTTTCTACAGTAATCAACATTGTACGCCGGTGACCACTAACTTGCATAGCAGCCGTAATACCAGCACCGTTGACTGCTGCTAGTCAGTGACCTATACCACATTTATAATATGGGAACTATGCTAACCTATAAATGAGACAGATCCTACATCAGCTTAACAAATGCCCCTGGAATTTCATTCTGAGCCCCCTGCCTCCCAGATTTCACAGCATCTGTGTGGGCTGCTATGGCGGTAGTTACACTAAAGTTACAGTCTATTTACAGTGTCCTTACCAGACACATAGTAAAATGAGTTTATAATAGTCATTTTACATATCTAGGTGTCGTAGAGCCATATCACATAAGAGATCCTGTCACTGGTGAAAACTCTCCAGCGACAAGATCGCTTAGAGATTGATCGTAAGAGAGCAGCAAGGTGTTGCTCCTTCACTGACATTTGTGAGGAAGGTTTGTCAGCATTCTTTTTTTTTATAAATATTTATTGAATTTCAATCAAACATAGTTAACAAACATTTTCTTCATTAAATAATCATTATATTCCTCATAATTTATTTAATTCCCACAACCCTGATCCCCCCCTAAGCCCCTCCTCACCCACACCCATCACCATATCCCCCCTCCCCCCTCCATCCCACTCTGCCATTTCTTTTCAAATCCAAAAGAGAGAGAACAAATAAATAAATAAATATATAGCACTATCCTTTTTCTTTCTAAAACTCATTTCTAAAAATCATTATTCGTCAAGAGGTGTAAATCAACTATATTTCACTTTCTTGTCTAAATTCTTCCCGTTTTCCCCACTTTTTATGGTACGTCTCCATCCCATCTATGTGTGTATAATAAAGTCTTTCCATCTCACATAACTGATTCATTCTGATCAACCAATCTTCTTCCGTCGGGACCTCCCTTTTTTTTCCAAAACTTAGGAATCAAGCTTTTGGCTGCACTCAGAAAGTACCAAATTCCTGAGTCCTTATATGATCTCACTGTGAGCTCAGAGATAAGAAGGAGACATAACTCTGGGTCCAATCTAATATCAATCTTAGTAATTTTCCTCATTAAATGGACGATTTTCCCCCAAAACACCTGTATCTTTGAACATTCCCACCAAATGTGATATAGTGTACCCACTTCTCCACATCCTCTCCAACATAGTGGAGAGTTCTCCCCGTTCATCTTGTGCTCCACACATCGGTGCAATGTGCCATCTAACTAAACACTTATAATTTAATTCTACTTCTCTCATACTAATATTTTCGTGAATTAATCTAAGCATTTTCCTCTGCTGTTCCTCATCGATCTCCCTACCCATATCTTTTCCCCATTTCTCTACATAAATTAGTTTTGTGTCAGTGTCCAGTGCCGTTAAAATTCTATATATTCTAGCTACACCATGTCTCCCATCTCCCCTTGTATCCAATAAACTTTCAAATAAATTCCAATCCTTTTTTGTTCTCACCGGTTTTGGGAGACTCTCAAAAAAGTGTTTTAATTGGTGGTAACGAACCTCGTCTATTCTGCTAAAAATCTCTACCTTTAATTTCTCCATCTCTCTATAAGATATCAGTTCCTCACCCACCATTATGTCTCTCAGTTGCGCGTCCTGTTTAATAATCCAATTCCCCGTGATATCTTCCTTCCCAGGTGCAAAATAGTCTGTATTTTTAAGTGGCATTAATTGTGAATTAAAAACCCAACCCCTTTGTCTGTGTAACATCTGCCAAACTTTTAAAACAGTAGAAGTGTATATACTTGTGTTAACATCTAGACCTCTATGATGTGTAGGTAACCATATAATTCTATTCAGATTGGACCCACTCAATATATTTTTAAATTTTGACCCAACTTTTCCCTGGGTTATGAGTCCAGTCAAAGTTTGTCAGCATTCTAGGCCAGGAAGGGAGTGATCCCATAGAGGAAAATGTAAGGCTCTAAGGGGGACGATTTTATTGATAGCAATGTTTTGCCAGCAAGTGGACCCCTAGGCTAAGTTCACACTAGCTTTGTAGGCAGGCGTTTGAGTGGCGTTTTTAACGCTCTCCAAACGCCTATGAAAATTCTACACATGGCAGCACACAGTGCTGTTCACACTGGAGCATTAACATCACGTCAAAATTGATGCCCCATGGCGAGTCAGGAGGCGTTGAAGCCTTTCAATGCCTCCCATTCAAGTCTATGGTGATGCTCCTCAAACGCTGCAGGTGTTTGCAAGGCGTTAATACTATTTAACTTCATTATAGGCGTTTGTGGTGCAATTTTAAAGCTTGGAAAACGCCTATCAAACACCTCAAAAACACACATGGGGTGTTTGGTGAGCGTTAAAAATGCTTCCCAAATGCCTATCAAACGCTATAGGGACGTTTGGGAAAAGTTAGAAATTAGTCAAGTGTGAATGAGCCCTGAGGCTGCAAGGGGAAACATGAGGAGATGCCTTGAGAGCATAAAATCATATGTACATAGCAGCCTTTCAACCAGGGTGCCTAGGCACCCTGGGTGCCTTGAGGTTTCTTCAGGGGTGCCTTGGCACATCAGCTGAGTGCTGGAGAAAAACTGAGGGAGAAAAGAAACACCGGAATACTGGTCAGTACCACTGTGCAAAAGTGTATTTGCTTTGAATCACCTCTAATGTTGGCAGCCTTTCTCAACCAGGTTGCCCAGGCACCCTGGGGTGTTTGTGGAAGTTGCTGCGTTATATTAAACTATTAGAATAGTTTTTCACATTTTAGAATGGGGTGCCTCAAGACTGTCCATAATTTTAGAGGGTGCCTTAGGACTGTACATAATTTTAAAGGGTGTCTTGACTGAAGAAAG